GTCGTGAGAAACCAGTGGTGAAGTAGTGAGTCAAGGACCCAGGTGTCCTGGCATCTGGGGTTTGCCACCGACAGACCTGCTTCTGTTTCTGTAGCCTCGGTACATGACAGAAACAGATGAAGCCTCCACTGACTTGTGAGAAGAGGAGGGTTTTTTGGTGGCCATAAAAATGACTTTTGCCCTAAAAGATTTGTTAGTAGAATGGTAGCGTTAATTATAGACAGAATGGTATATTTACTGGCTTGAGATTCTGTTTTTTGACAGATGCACAAATCAGCAACAGAACTTTTTTTTTAATGCTGGGTGTTGTCCACTGACAAATGTGCTGCATCTGCTGTTTTTCTGTGGTAGGCTTAAGGACAGCAACGGTTAAGGGTTTTCTTGTTACTTCTGTGATCAAGAGGTGTCAGACAGCAAAAGTGCTATCCCAATTATTGTCCAAAAAAAAACCCAAAAGGGAAAAAGAAAAAACAGTGAATCTCTGCTAGTCATTTGAAAAGGAAAGATACTCAACCGTAGCTTAAAAGAAACCTATCTACAGTTCCCTGGTTTAGCACAATCAAAGTATATCTGAACTACACATATAACACAGATTTCTACCCCGATTTAGGCTTCTCTCCTCTTTACAGTTCACACATGCACATACACCCACACATACTTGCTATTTGATTTGGAAGTGCTTTAAACCCAGGTTGATCCACTGGTGGCTTGAACTGGACATAAGGCTTGGTCAGGGCTGGTGTATTGAATGTTCTTAGCTTTTTTTTTTTTTGTGCTCATCCCACGATTTCCCTGGCACAAAGCAGTGGCCTGGCCTCACCCAGCCTACACTCTTGCATGCCTGTGCTTAGTGCTTCCTGGTGACCGGTTACCTCTACGGGGAACCCCAGGTGTAGGCATGAAAAGGTGAAACCGGTGAGGAAATCAGAGTGGGAAATCTCAGTCTGTGTACTGCAGGTTACTTTAGAAGCGCTATAAAATACTGCGCAAGTAGCAAGGGCAGGTACTCAAGAAAACTAAGTTTGGGATCTGCGTGCATCTTCGGACACAGAACCTGGAGACACGACCTGAGACATATGCAGGTGAGCACAGAAGTGACAAGGTATTACTGCACGGTGGATGCCGTTAGGCCTTCGCTTTGCCAGCATCTCGGGCACCCGTACTGAGCAGTCAATGCAGATAAAGCTTTCGTGGGTGTGTAAATTCACGTCTGCTCTAGTGCTGCCTGTGCTTGGTGTCAATGGCAGGATTCTCCCCACGTGCGCAGCTCAGTAAGTCGCCAGGCTGTAATGCCCCATTATCGTTTCCCCCAGGATTTCAGATATCAATTTAATACCTACCCTAGGAAAATACTTTTATACTAACTGATGTGTTAGCACAGATGGCTGTGATATGTTAGCTGAAGGGGTTATCTCCTATAGGGAGCATAAGATTTACTTTTATCTGTGTTATTTCATGCATTAAAGCTACAGCTTGATCTTCTTAGGGCTTTAAATGAGCATCTCAGCATGTGTAAAAGCACACTTCATTTTTACTAGTGTAAGGGAGGACATAGAGGCAAAAAGGCATTAGCACAAAATACTCGTTTCGATGAAGGAAAAACTTTGAAATATTTTTGAACTGTCTGATTGTAAGGAATTCTTTGAAGTACATTGACTAATAAGGTGAATTTGTCTTTCAGAAATGTAAATACAGGGGAGATACTATGTAAATTTCCATAAACATAATTTATGAAGATTAAAATAACAAAACCCATCAAGTCTATTCTCTTTGACATCAGGCAAATATTTACAGCCAGGCAAAAGAAAAAGTGCCTTTGGCCTGCCGAGTGGATTTACTCTGCAGAGAATGGAAACAGGCTTTTACGTCATCTTTCGTGGTTGAAAAAGAAAAAAAAAATATAGTAGCTTGCTTTTGTTTGTCTTCTGGTATGCCGCAGTCCTGTACGTACAGTAAAGCGTCGCACCCTGTCGCTGTTAGCGAAGCACAGCTGGGTCTCTTGCAGCCATCGGCAGCAGGACTGCGCAGGGATTCTGGAGGCGGCTGGGAAGGGGCCGCTGGCGCTGGGCGCTGACCCAGCTCTCGCTACCAGAACCAGTAAGGGGTTTGCTGGTGTGGAGGTCTGGCCCCACGCAGGCAGGAGTGCTCCCGAGCCTGCCCGCGCTCCCCAGAGCCCACCTGAGCCATGGCACTGAGGGGGTCCTGGCAGCCCTCGCTCGCTCTCAGCGACATCCCGCTGTCGGCTGGCGGCGGGGGGGGGGGGGGCCTTCGCTCTCAGCGACATCCCGCTGTCGGCGTGGTGATGGTGACCATTTATCTGCTTGATAGGGAAGGGGAAAGAATTTTGTCTGGGGACGGTCTATGTAGAGGGAGTGCAGCCCAAGGGATGATTAGGAGCAGCAGCTTATTAGGATTGCAGGAGCATTTATTAATTTGTAAAGTGCTGTCAAATTGCTAATGCAATACAATGCAAACTTTGTATCCCAGAAGAGTTCTGCTTCTTTTCATCCTCTTGCTGTTAACTGAGTTGTGCTTAGTCACATCAGTGCTGTAGCAGTAGTGCCACAGGAGGACAAAGCTGTGCCCTGAAAGGCTGACTGTATTAATAATTTTTATTATTGAAGACCCATTTTGGTTTTTTAACTGTCTCTTACAGGTTCTAGTTGATTTCTGGTGGGTGGGTTTCTTTGTTTGCCTGGGTTTTTTTTTTGTCCAAGTTTTTAATTTCTAATAATGTCATGTAATAATGCAAAGGTGGTATAGATGAGGAAAAGGGGGAGGGAGATAAGTAGGATTGGGAAAGGATGTAAAAGCTGATGGTATACAGGACTTAGAAGTACCAGAAGAATGATTTGGAAAGTAAATCTATCCAGCCTTCCCAGTATTTATATTATTGCCAGTTTGAGTTGTTAACGTGTCTTTTTGTCACTGGGGAAACTATAGTTCCTATGGGAAACAATGGGGAGGAGAGGCAGTTACTCTTTTTTCCCTCCATTGTATTAAATCTGTTAGCTGATACCAATTGTGAAAGGAATTAATATCCCAGATACCCTGTTTTGCCAAAATTGGAGATACGGGAGCAGGGCCGGCAGTAGGATCCTGAGGAGAGAAGGGGAGGCAGCTCACCCGCGGGCTGGCGTTATCCCGCTCCAGGCAAACCTGTGCTCCTCCCTCTATCCCTCCTAAAAAATATTTTTGGGTTTTTTTGGGGTGTAAGGATAGAGGGAAGAGAGTAGTTGGAAGCAGGGATTGCTTCGCAGGATTGCAGAAGCTACAAAATCCCTCGAGGAGGAGGACAGCAGGCCAAAGCAGCTGTAATCCAGACTGAAGAGCTGATCAGGCTGAAAAATCGTAGGGAATAAACCACTCTTTTTCTTTCTCGCATGATGTGCTTCACAGCCTGGCTATGGCTATGCAGGCAAGTGAGCCAGCGCAAGGGAGAGGAGCTGCTGGGGAGAAGGGACGTGTTGGCTGTTGGCAGAAGGGCGCAGTTTCACACACCCTCCTGCCTTTTCTGCCATGTGCTGGGCTTTGCTGGTCATTTAGGTACGTGGCAAGTCAGATGAGGAAATCCATGCAGGTGAAAACTTACCCTTTTTACTAGACCAGTTTTCAGTTTGATCAAGTTTCCTGGTGTGGTCATGTGAAAATAGTAATGGCAGTGAAAGAGGAAGGATGGAAACCAAGGACTGAGACAGTATGGCAGAGGGGGACAGGATCCTTTCAGCAGATACCTTCAATCATATTTGATTAAAATGGTCTTATGTTACGTTTTTGCCTGTTTATAAACTGGCTTAGTTGACTGTTGAAATAACAAATTCTTCCCTGATCCTGACCTGACCCGGGAATCCCGTCTCTGCCTTTCTATCTATGCAGTGATGTGGTTCAGAAGACAAATCCAAAGGAAAAACAATTCTCCCTCCGCATAACACACCCTGCTACTGAGTTAATTTTTAGCCTAATCAGTTTTCTATAAACATTGAAGGGAAACAGCGTGTTTTGACAACAGTGTTGGTTTATGGGTGGTTGTATGGTAGGTTTTGTGTATTTTGTTCATTTTGTTTGCATTTTGAGAATTCAGTGACCTGTGATTATTGGAAGTAAGTAGAGAGGGGGTTCTATGCTGTATAGGTGATTTGGGGAATTTTCACGAAGCAACAGATCTGTGTGACATTGTGTGGCCACCCGGTATTGGAGAAAAAAGGCTCAGTAGTCACCCAGCTGATGAAATTTGGTCTGTTGCTTTTTGCCATGCACCTTCGTCTATGTTTTGGGACATAAGAACGCATTTTCTTTTAGCCAGTGATCTTCTAAAAACACTTGCATGTGCACCCTGTGTTTATAACAATGTTCAGAGTGTTGCACCATCACCAAACTAGACTGTTGCTTCTATTTTGAGACCCAAAGCAACAGAGCTGTTTTCGGTCAGTCCAAATGCTCATGCTCACAGATGTAGAGAATAAAGCGGAACTGATACATCTGGGATCTGAACACCTTCCAGCTGATGTTTTATCAGAGGAGAACCTGCATATGTGTACTTAAGAGAGAGGATTGCTGTCATCTTAGGATGACACCATCATATGAAAGGTCCAAAAGAAGGTTTAAAAATATTGAATGTCTTTTTGCTTCAGATCTCGTTCCTGGAGAAGGCTCATGTTTATATCTAAATCTTCTGTTTCTGTTGGGTAATGAGATGCAGTGTACACAAAACACCCTTTGATTTCTTGGTCGAGAAGCTGAGTTGATGCCGTGTGGGCTAATGTTGACAAAAAGGGCTGATAATGTCATCATGTGTATGTGTAGAATGGCTGTCTTCATGGATTATCAGACCAAAACAGCAGAAAATTTTGGCATCCTATCAAGCTTGATATTAAACAAAAAATGAAATACTACTAGCTTGTTTTGTTCTTTGCAGTCAGTGGTTTTGGAATAGTACTTTAAGAGCTCAGGGCTTTTCCAATTCAGTGATAGTTTTTTTTCTTTCTTTTTTCCTTAACCAGAAAAAGCCACTGTCCTCAATAATAAAAGAAGTCTGCGATGGGTAAGTTCTGCCATATAGTACTTACTAAATACTATACTTTGAGTTATTAAACCAACCAGGAGTTAATTTTTTCTGAAGAAAATCTAGATACCCTGTATGACTAGTCATTAGTTTCTTAAATCTTATAGTTGTTTTATCTTCAGATTTTGAATTTGCAGTGTATTTTGGATCAATTACTTGCAAGTTGAGGTTCCTAGCAAAGCAGTTCCATCACTTGAGTGCCTCTGCTTTAGACTGTTCCTTGCCTTTCTGCACAGAGATGCGTTTTACCCACTTTATGCTTGTGGTCCCTGCAGTTCACGAGTTGAGGAACTAAAGCACTGACTGTGGCTTTTGTTTTTGGGCACTGAGTTGTGCAGTTGATGTAACTGCTCACATGAAAGTGAAACATTAATCACAAGTCCTGCAATAAGAACTAGTAATTGGCTAAGAGAAATTATCTTACTTTAGTTTTAGTATGTTAATATTTGGGGACAAAAACACTGTTTTAAGCAAGTCCTGCCACACGGGAGAAACTCGTTTAAATTCAATCGAATTGCTACTGAGTTAAAAAGGCAGTATTTTTTGCATAATGTAATATATCAACTTAATACTATATGCTTTGGGTATTGTATAAGCTAGCATAAAATCTTGGTACTGTAAATCTTTTTTGGTTTGTTGTAGTGATTTAGTGATCTTGCTTACTGCAAGCAAAAACTATGCTTGCTATTTCTTACAGACCTGGAATGAATATCAGATCATTGTCAACTTAGTTTTGGAGCACTGAAATGTCACTGTAGGGACAGAGTAGTTTCTCTTCTTTCTCCCCCCTGCTGTCTTCTTTTTATCTTTGCCTTGGAAGGAAGGTATTTGTTATGTAATTTCTTTCTTGATCATGGTCAAGTTTAGGGCTTTGTTTCAGATATGCAAAGGGAAAATCGCATTTACAGGGTGTATTTGTGCTGAAGTTTTCCCTTTGTAAGCATGCTTTTATCTTAAACTTTGGAACTCATCATTGATAGCTATGGAAAAGTATGAGAAATGCGAATGACAGGCACTTGTTTGATTGTAGTAAAATTATGTAAAGGGTACTTTCTGCGTTTTTAAGATTTCATTTTGTGATTAATTTATTTTCATATTTCTAAGGTGGTCTCTTGCAAATCATGATCAGTTTGCACTGCAGCATGCTGATAGCTCTAATTTCTACATCACAGAGAAGGTAGGTAAATCATTCGACACAATTCTTCCATAGCCTATCATAATATTTGCCACAATAATTTATTTTAAATTAAAATATATAAAAATATAGAGTATTTTCTGTAATGCAATGCCATTGAGAGGGTAGGTACTGAGATGCCTGACTTAGTGGTTTTGCACTGATTTCTTCTGTTTGGAAAGGCAAAAAAGAGTTTGAATGTGCCGAGGCCTTCATGTCTGTTGAGTTTGAGACTTCAGCGCTGAACCCTTCAGCTTTGGTATTTGTGCGTGTTTAGTATTCTGCTGACCAGTGGTGTACAGGAAATTGAAATACGTAAAACGTGAAGGGCTCTTTGAAGTCTGAGGAGACTCAGTGCATGTCACTTCCCTCTTTGGCTGATCAGGTAGAAATAAGTTTTAGTGACTCTCAAATATTTGCTATTCCTTCCCGCCTGCTGTCTTGTCCTTTTCCAGTTCTGTATGTTACTTTGGCTTATTTTTTTTTTCTGGTCCCCAGATAGTGTGGCAATAGGTGATTCATGAAGTCATGCAATGATTTCAGCACAGAGTAACGAAATGGCTGTAGCTGTAATAAAAATGGAATGTCTAGTCTAAATAAATGCGACATATTCATCTGAACGAGACCAAGTAGTACATTCATTCCTAGCATTACGGAGAGAGTTGCTGAAATGACTGAAACTATGGGGAAAAAAAATTAATTTATTTGAGAGTGTACACATTAGTGCTGCAGAGGTACAATTTCTAAGCAATGGGAAAAGAGCGTTATTCAAAACCTGCTGAAGGCTGCATGCAGATTCCCTAACCTCAGTGGATTTTGAGCAAAATAGGCCTGAGCTTAGCCGCATAGACATAGATGCGTCTTGCTTACCTTGTTATCACTTTAGTTTGGCTTACTCTTAAGTGGAAGGGTCTTTTGGTTTTGTTTTGCATTTTCCAGTTGTTTAGGAACTGCTAAATACAGCTGAGACATGAACTAACTTTTCTCTTGCTGTAATTCTTACCCCCACCCAAGAAATAATGGGAACTTGGGCACAGTTAAGCATTTGGAAAGACTAAATTTAGCAAGACAGCTAGACCAATTGCTCATAAGATAGTGCTGATTTTTTTTTTTTTTTTGAGCAGACCAGTTTCAGATTTTCATTTAACTGTTTGCCACCCCAGACAACCTTCTCAATGTGTCACAGTTTGTTTTGGGATCTCCCCTTTTTCCCTTGTGTTTTGTTTGTTTTTTTTTTTTCCTCCTTTCTTTTCAAGTTTCGGTTGACAGACACTTCAAAGGCCACCACAAGGAAAACTGTTGAAGTAATTATTGGCTGCTGCGTTTTGCCTCGACACAAATTAAATAGCGAGACTGTTTTGCTAATTGCCCTGAATTGTGACGCAACATTTTCCAATAAGCCAGACACAACTGAACTTGGCTGTTGGCGTTTAAACTCTGATTGTACAGTGAATATTTCCAAGAAGCCATGATTGAGCAAATATTGAAGGAATTTGTCTTGATGCTACAGCTGGAGGAATCTTCCAGGCTTTACCCCCACCTCTGGTGGGTAGCATCCTGCAGCTTTGGAGAAGAGAAATATTTTCTGTTCTGCATAAAAGGAAGTCTGATAGCTTTTGGCTGCCTTTAACTTGCAATAAGTGTGGAAAATGTTGATCTTCTAGAACATTTTGAATTGTACTGCAGAGAGGACTTTGGGTTTGTTTATTCCTTACTGAAAACATGCAGTGTCTGACTCTGAGTCACATAAATAAGAGAGAAGAGCTCTAAATGCCACCAGTATTACTCAGATGTCTGTGACTTTTATTAGTTATTGTTCACTGTTTATCACCGCTTATTGGATAGTGGCTATAAAGAAAGAGAGGCTTATATAGGCCATTGCCCCTTCTACATACTTTCCCTCATTGACGTGCAGTAGGACGTTGTTGCTTTCTGCATTAAAACATGAAAGACACCAGGCATGAGGACAAACGCGTGCGCTTCCATGAAGCTACACCACTAGTTGTTAAAGCCCACATTGCTTTAATCTGCCTCTTACTAGGACATGAACAGAGCTCTTTTGCGACAGTGGCAGCTTCTAATAACTAAATATTTGTCACTGCTCTCGAAGGTGAGTTGTATGTCTGTACGTATGCAGAAAACATTACGTATAGGTCATGTTTCTGCAGAGGCTGGGTGACTGCTCATTTATGGCTTTCCAGGTGGAGCTGCCTTTTTAAAATATCATCGTGTTTAAAGTTACCAGAAAGAAAAGCAATTAATGAATTCGTGTACAAAGTAATGAGAAACTTTGAAGTGAAAATGTTACAAATGTGGGATTGTCAACACATGGCTTACAGTTATATCTTTGGGTTTGGGTGGCAAAGAGTGCGTCTGTGTTTTGGTTGTCATATGTAGAACTCTATCTTTTGTAGCTGACCTATATTTCCTGATTGTACCGTACATAAACAAAACGCCCAAGCAGTTCTGTCTTTTTTTTCTTTTTTTCTTTTTTTTTCTTTTTTTTTTCTGGCTGTATTATTTGGAAAAATGCCTCTACAGGAGTACCAATAACTGCTTCAGACAGTGTAAGGGCGGTCTTTTACCAAATCTTGAGTCAGCCAGAGTTCCTACTGGAGATAGGGCTTATCACAGCAGATGCAGTTTGGACTGCTGCCTCTGGGGTTCTGGTTTGGTTGTATCTGTGCCCCTGAAAGTGCAGTGGGAGTTATTAGTTATGTATTTTAGTCCTTTTTTTTTAAAAAAAAAATGCGAGAAATAAAATAAGAGGTTGTGTGAACAAGAAAGCCAAGCAGGCATAGTGCCTAAGCTCAAGCCTAGATGGTGTTTTGATAACAACGTATTTGATTTTTAAGGTGTGTCTTTTTTAAGGGGCATTTCTTTGGTAGGTCAACCATCTAAAAGCCTGGCTTCTGAATCAGGATCTCATTGTGCTAGATACTATGTAACAGAGGATAAAAAAGCCACCTCTTTTATCTGTCCAGGTTGTACTTGAATAAATACATGTGTACATCAGGTGTAGTAACTCAGGAACACCATAGCGTGGATGAGCTCAGGTTTAGAATAGAAAATGCTATGTGAAGTGTAGAAAATGGCTATATAATTTTTTGTGCGATGTGTGTTCCTGGGCTGAAAACCACAGCTTGGATATCTGTCCGCTGTGTTCCTCTGCCGGCAGTGGTAGGAGTGCAGGGACAGACATCCGAGCGGCTCATGGAGCACGTTGGTGGGTATGCCTGGTCCCTTATCGCTGCTCACCCCTGGCCCTGCAGACAAGGTCTGGCGTCTCTAGATCCATTTGTGCACCTGCATTGCCCACCGTGGGCTCTGAGTCTGTGCGGGATCATTATTAGCTCAAACTCGGTCTCGGAAAACAAAAAAGATCGTGAAGGAGCTGGATTGTTGCAGCTGTTCAGATTACAGCGCAGCCTCAAAAATGTGGTGGTGTTTTGTTTTGGGTGGTGTTTTTTTTTTTTGTCACATCTGAAGATGTGATAAACCACAATGATTGTCAATGAGAGGGCCTTGCAGGGGTGTGGGGCTGGGCAAGAACAGTGTCTAAGCCGGTTTTGTTGCTAGAGACAGAATGTGGTGGCTTTTAACCCTGCACCTGGGCAACTATCAGGAATAAAAGGCTAGCTCACTCTTGCTGGGGGGGCTTTGTGAGCCGACTCTGAGCTATGCTCAGCACATTGTGATGATACTAGTGCCATTTTTTTATGTTCTCTTTTAAATATAAGGACATTTCTTTCATCTGTGCATTGACTGCAGCCCATTTTTATTCAGTCACAATTTTGTTGTGTTCATTTTTTTTACCTCTGATACCTCTGAAGACTCCCTGTGGTTTTTTTTTCCTTCTTTCCTGACTCCCACATTTCCCTTTCATTCTTAGGTGCTTATTACATGAAGTGGAGGAGAGCCGACACTGAGTTCCCTCCATTAACTTCGAGAGACCTATAGTGCTGTTCTGTGAAGGGAGCTGCTCCCACCTTACTTTCATTGTCATTACTCAGCTCTTTGCTGTGTTTGCAGATGGGACATCCTTCTACCCCCCGCCTTCCCCAGGCTGGGAACCTGGGTAGAGTCCCTGGTGCTTGTTCTTTCTCAAAGGTGCTTTTGCTTGTGACCTATTTTTTGCTGAATGCAACCTGTAATTGTATATTCATGTGAAATTCCACCGAGCCATTACAGGCTCCCTGCGTGGGAGGGTATGCAAATGACAGGACAAGAAATGAGCCACTTGTAGAGTTGGGGTTTTTTGGAGGTTTTTTTTCTTTCACATTTCTAGTATTCATCTGTTTTCACTGATTAATTGAACTTCAGTGAGTTGGAAGTAAACATTCTCAATAATGATGGTTTCTGGTTCACTGAAGGATCTGGTACTTCGTAAGGAGCTGAGAATGAGAAGTTGCATGAAGGCTGGAAATTGGAGAAATGTATTAAGTCATCTGTTCCTCTCATTTGCCAATTTGCATTACTCTTGATAATACATTTGTTAGTAATGCTACATAAATGGCAGATTCCAGTCCAGATTTGACCTGGACCAGGCTATGCCTGACTTTCCCTTTTCTGTACCGTGTGTGGTATTTCTGCCGTATTCACAAATTTCCTACTATTTTGAGGCATCTGCATGGCCTTGCAGAAATCCCTAACAATAAGGGCAGCGGCCGTGCTCCTGCCTGCTTGATGCAGATTGGTGATGCTGCCCTGTGGACTCCAGTAAAAACTAGTGGACACCAGTGTTTTTCTCCAGTAAACAGAGGTAAAACTTGAGTACCTGTACACTAAGTCACTTTCAATCCTGCTTTGTTCAGGCTGATTTCAAGAACAGTAGTCACCCTTCTCTTTGCAAATTATTCCTAGTTTTTAGGACTCATGTTGTAGGACTTCAGGTTTATGCTAAATTTTCCAAAGAAATAATTCTGTCCTGTCAACCTGTTATGCTTTCTGGCCCCAGCATGAACACCTTAATTCTTCTGCTTGTCTTCTTTCCAAACATTTGG